CTACAGGGGAGTTTCTGATTCAGCCGATAGTCTCTTACTCTTTCCTTTTAAATAGAGCTGAAACACAGCTAAAAATAGATATACGAGGCTGAAATTAGTTTTGAAACTAGCAGCATTAGGTATCGAAGTCAGTAGAACAAATCTAGGTCTTCCTGCAAATGGTCATTTCCCTCCAGGATATTCTTCCCCTGCCCCATAACCTCACTTTACTTATCTGCTTTAATTTGTTCCCTATTGAGCTGATAACTGCAGTAAGTCTTGGTTTATAGCTTTACAGATTTGCTGGAATCAAAGAATGATAAAAAGTCTACACATGAAAAAGTTAAGGAGCAAGTGTTTGTTACTGTCATACCCCATAGAATTAACAGACGTGATACCTTAAAAAGGGTGCCTTACTATTTAAGCACTTTCACATTGAAGTGTACACTTCCTATGGTATTTAGTAACACTTAAGCTCCCAGCAGCTTATTACAAATTGAAAGAGATGTTTTAAACGCTATGCAGAATCATTAGCTAAGCCCAACTCAGTTTTAACTGTGAATCTGAAAACAGCATGCTTCACAAGCAGGAAAAAAAAAAGCAGAACTAATGAGCAAGATGATCAGAGGGATAAAAAATGGCGGATCGCTGTATAAGACCTGATATTTCTTAATACTAGCTAGAAAAAACAGTGGATTAAAAGCAAGAGGGTGTTCCAGATCCGATACCAGAATGTCATTAGGTCAATATGCCCTCTTTCCTGGGTCAATGTACCTCTGGATTTAGCTCACAGACCATGGATTTAATGAGATATTTTGTAAGTGACCTTGTGTAATAGTAATACAATATCATTTACGTCATTACACCTATTTATTTTAGGTCTGGGCAGCCCTGCCTGGACTGTTGAAAAGAGACTTTCAGATGATCGCAGTCTACAGCAGACCACAAAAGGCCCTCATTAAAACTAACAAAATATTTCAAACTGATGAAGAACAAAATGGAAAAAATACAAGGACTTTACTGAGACAGATGAATGCACTTTTTCCTTCATGTCCTGACCGTAACAGAGTTAGCTGAATTATTTCTTTCAATTAAGAAAACACATGAAAATAAAGTTCACCCATGTTTTTGCAAATGCCCTTCCTCTTTTCTTATCTTTTTTTTTTCTTTTTTTTTTTTGAACAACCCAGAATTTTTCACAGCAGCCTTCTCCAACCTGCCTGATTGAAATTTCTGCACAAAGAACTTGTAGCGGTCAGGAGCTTCCGACATTAGATGTCAGTGCTAATATTTTTGGCTATTGGTTCTGTTGGTGATGTATGTATCATGTATGCAGTCTATGCAAATGGACTGTTGACAAGGCTACCATGATCTCATGAGCAACATGACCAGAGATTCATTCCACATTTAAGAAGACTATATTATCCAGTGTCGCAATAATAAAAGAAAGTCTCTGGTCACACTGGCCGCTTGCAACAGGATTCTCTTGAGAGTTTTCATTTCCATTTAATATCATGATGGTAACTAAACTACACAAATAAACACACATTTACTGTAGCCCTGGCAGTTATTCATACTCCTCCTGTGGCTAAAAGCAGAGTGAAAGAGAATTTTCAGATGGGTTTTTTTGAAACTTTCATAACTAAAGAGAATTTGTCATCACTCACAAAGGATTCAAACATCCTTGACACCTTTGTCACCACGCAGCAACTAAAAGGGCCAGGAAAATACAGCAGAATGGCAGCCCACATGAAACAGCGTTAAATTAATGGCTCCTCCTAGTTAAAAGCCTGAATTCTGCACTCACTGAAGTCACTGACAGAGCTCTTACACAGTCCAGGGTAAAAGGACTGGCCCTCTAATGTCTAGGTTGCAGTAATTTTTCTTTAACTTATCCCAAAATGTCAAAGTTTCAAATAGTTTTTGGAAAAGTGCAGATCTTACCCCATATTGCACATTTCTATGAGATTTGCAGCCAGACATCTGATTCTGGACAGTTTCAACTTGCATTTATTACCAGTATGGTCACTCAAGTACACAAATCCAACCAACTAGACTGGCTCCAAAGAAATCCTCTTGAAGGGAGGTCAGCACTATCTTTGTCCTTCCCAATCCACTCATACAAGCACTTTGAACAGCAGGGGAGTCTCCTACCATGGCAGACAGTAGTGTGGAAGAAAACAGCTGTTATACTGATAGAGCAAGCGCTCCATTCAATGGTTAACGTAAACAGCTAGTCGGGACACTAGGCAAATGAGTGGAAAAGCAAGAAATCACTGAACCACAGGCCTTGTAACAACTTAAACCCTTTTGCAAAAACTCTGCTATCCAAACAGATTCACCCTTGCACTGGGAGAGGGCAGAAGAATTAAACTATTGCTACATCCCCTTGTTCAATACAAGTTCCACTTATTTTTCCCTGCATGTGCCATCCTGCAGAGCATTTATGTGCTTGAAAGCAGCTGAGGATGCACTATCCATGTATATCATACTCCCACCTAACGTGCCCGGTATTGTGAAACAACACTGAGTTTGAATATAAGCAACAATAAGGCAGTTTCAAGTCAACACGTTTGCTGCTGTTCTTGCAAACATGTTCCAGTGAGGTAGTAAGAAAGAAAAGAAAACAAGTCTTCATCCGTATCAGGGTAAACTGAACTACAAATAAGCTTTGTGGAAGTGTGCTTCAGCTGGCATCTTAATTTCGTTAATCAAAAACTTTTAACATGGGTTTTTTTTTTTTTTCAGTGCCACCTCTTAATCTTTTCTGTGCATTCAAACATATTTAAGTAATCAAATATAAAAAAATATAGTAATAGAAACCGGTTGCTATTTTAAGGTTATTGGAAGTGTGTAAGTTAGAAAACAAACTGATGCAGCTTCACTGAAGCAGCAATAGCTCATGAAATACATTATATTTTAAGAAACAGTAGGACTTGTGAAAGAGTACATCTCGTACAAATGGTTAAAAGATCAATCAGCTATTAGTGAAAATCCAGTTGTATTTAATCACATAGGTATCGCTACAACTAAAAAGCCTGATCCCACAGTCCCAACGAATCAATGGAAACCTTTTCATTGGCTTCACTGAGCTTTACATCAGGGCACTAAATGCAAAGAGGATAAAACCAGTAGAAACACTTTCTAAATTATGTTTTAATGTATTAGTAGAAATGAGAAGCAGAATTAAGCCAATTATACTATGTGGAGGGGAAGGTAATGTAAATCTATACCTTCAGCCTCACGGTGAATAATCAACATGATGGATATTATCAAAAGCTTACAAGATAAACACTTTCTGCACTAACGCTACAGTTGTTAGTATTCTAGTGTTACAGTTTTATTCCTAATTTTTAGTTCTGAAAGCTGGTGCTAGAAAATGAAGACTAGCTGTCTTCATTTTTTAAACTAAATTTAGCCTCTTGAAAGATCTCTCTTGGACACAACTGGGGATTAAGTTCTCCATAAATCTTGTATTTGAGTAAGCAAGTTGATACTGAGCCTATTGCATAAAATAATGTTGTTAATGGCAACATTTTGTAGTATCATTTACAAAATTCAGGCTCACTTTAAAAAGAAACCATGGTAGTATGGTGAAGTTCTAAACAACTAGTGTCTTAATGTTTAATGATAAATTCAGTTAATATTTCAAATCCAATTTAAAGTCCAAGCTATAAAGCAATTAAAATAAATATGGTGATGGTTTGATATTGCTTGAACTACTGTTTTTTGGCTTGACCCACAGCAACAGGTAACCTTTAGGGAAAAAACAAAATGTATGCATCATGAACATAAATTTGCTTTTAAACATAATTTTCTGCCATGGAGAACACAGGTGACTAGTAACACTACAGAATTTAAAAATTCTGTGAAAGCACATTTGAAGATCATAGTTTGTTGTTATGCCTAGGTTGAGTTCTTTATGGCTTTATAAAAGCTTGAAGACTAACAACATAATCTCTTCTTAAAAAACAACCCAAGTATATGAAGAAATTTATAGATCAAATGAATGGAACTAACATATTGATAGTAACTCAGTATCAAGTTCTTAAAAAACAGCTACTGAAGATTACTCCTAAATTGCAGCCACACGTATGAAGAACAGTGATCATAGTGTTAAATAATTTTACGGAGAGTTTCTCACACTTGTGAATCTCCAGTTTCAACAAAATATCCATCCATTTACATCAAATGTAAACAGCAGCAGCTTTTCACTGATTTAAGATGCCAATTGCTGAATTTTATTTTTCTGAAAACAGGAAAGCAGTTTCTCTAATTTATGACCATATTCTAACTAGCAGAGATAGTGTTGATAATATGTGACAGCTACTCAGCTGTTTTATCTAAAGCAGTGGTAATAATTAATTAACCAGTCCTGCTGGACCTATTTAGCTATTGCATCAGTAACAGAGACTGTTTCATATCTACAACACGCCAATATTATTGTATGTCGGTTTTAGAATGTGTTAGGCTGCTTAAATTCTTTTTAGAATTCATGTTCAGACAGGAAAAGATGAATTTTTTTGTGAACCAGTGTAATTTTTATATGGAGGTAAAGGTAGGACCACTGTAAACCTGTAGAAACGTAAATAATTTGGATCTGTGAATTTAAATGCAAGTGTTCCTGCAAATAAACTCGTATTATAATTTGAGTTCACAAAATACAGTACTAAAAGCCTGTATCCTGTAACAACTTGCAGATGGGTTTAGCCATGTATGTTACACACTGAAGTCAAGGTGAGTACAGAGGGGGCCCGAAGCAGAGCATACACATCAGTCTTTGTAGAATCAAGGCCTCAGGTAATAAATTCCTAACTACACGTGTTACTAAACTTGAAAAAACTGCGTGTGAGGTTTCTCATTGTTTCAAAAAGTATTTTTTCTTTGATAGTCTTCCACACATTGTGAATGTGTATACATATATTACGCACACGTATATGTACACAGAGTTACCACCTTTTTAATCACTTATAAGTCACCTTAGAAATATGATGCTCAAATAGAGTATTTTTGCTACTCACCTGTCTGTTACGTTCATCCATAATCCTTGTAATCTGAATCTTTTTTCTCCCCATAGTCCCCGTTTTTTTTTCTCTCCTTCTTCCTTAAAATTATGTATTTTTCCCTTCTCTTTTCTTCCTCTTTCCCGTTTCCTCAAAACAAACCTCCTTCTTCAGCACTTGCACTACTCAGTTCACAGTCCCCTGCATCCGTTCCTGCTAAACACAGAAACGAAATCAAATGTTATTACAAAATTGATAACGAGATGAAAGTTATTATATGGAGCTGATCAAGCATCCCAATTATAATTTAGCATACAAGTAAATTAAAATAAAAATTTAATGCATCTATAAAATAGGTAATGCACAGAGAAATAATGATTTAATTCAAAGGCTTCTTTTTATGAACAAACCTTCCAATACATCAATAAATAAGGAAAAGGACTGAAATACACATGGTCAAAACTTTAACGGAATTAGGTGTCTCTAGTTTTAAATATCACTCACTGCTCTAATATGAAAAATTACCTAAATCAGAGAGTTAATGAACCTTTCTGTACCTATGTATGCTAAGTAGGCCAGCTAATTCATTTCTGAAGGGAAAACAATCTTGTGTTTTGACAGCAGAGGTGATAATGTCCCTCATTATGCAAATAGGATGGACCTTTATTAAAGTGTTACTTGATATATGAGAGATGTCAGCTACTTTAAATCCAAATTTTTTAACCTTATTCTTTAAGAATATAGATTAGTACAAGTATTACTCAAGATACTTTAAGAAAACAGGAGTGCATTTTCCCTCCATTTCATTTCAATGTAGATTCTCAAACCTTCTAACGAATGATTTCTAACTAGCAAACACATACATCTTTCCTTATAAAAATTCTCGCACCGAAAGACAAGCTATATAGCACAGAATAATAGGGAGAGATGATAATTCAAGAACATTTTAAAAAATGTTTTCTCAGTTTTCATAATGCACTGATACTAGCCCCCTGAGCTTTACAATTCTGATTCTATTGCAAAAGTAAGGACAGTTAGATGCAATATACAAAAATACATAACACTCTACCCATTACATATTTCACAAAATGTCAAAAATCACAAAATTAATTTCTATCATATGCAAAGCGTTTTTAGCAATAACAGACCTGGCAGAAATACAAGAAAATACAGAAATGATGTTCAGGCTAGTACTAAAGTAAAAGGTGCAATTTTTTCCCCTTTTACTTTTCATTTACCACATTTTTACATCTGCATATTTTGACCAGAATAGCACAGTACTTTTAAACACAAAAGAGAAAAAAAAAATCTGAACAAGATTAATTTCAAATGATTTTTTAAAAGTTTTTATGTTAGATCCATAGTTTATTAAAAACATTGTCATGGAAATAAAAAATTATTAATTTTAAATCAGAAGCTGGTGTTTCCTTATTTATTTTAAGCCCATAGTCTTGCAGCCAACCTGATAAATTCTCACAATATGTTACGTAACACTAAGCCGATGTCCTGGCCATTTAATCCATTATTTGGCTCTGATTCAAAGCTACTGAGGTAGAAAAGCTAGACCTCACTCATTCTGATCTTCAATTCTCTCTTGATTTTCTTTGCATACATTAAACGTTAAGCTGCTGAAGTGTTTTATCGCTCTAAGAAAAAAATAAGTTAACAAATAAGCAGTCAGTCTGAGCTTTCTAACTAGCCACTGTGATATAATTAAGCTGCTGGGCAAAACAAATTTTCAAGTGTAACACTTCCTACCTTTCTGTACATGGATGACCTTTTATATTATTTGCTAGGCATATTTATATATGCCTAAATCATTACCGTAAAACAGAACATGGAACAATTCACGTTGTCAATATAATAAAGTGTAAAGTCTGCAAATTTTTTTTTGCTGCTTTTTACTTATTTGAAAACAGTTCAAGATTTCACTGCTTAAAAAGACACAAAGGCGCCTGATCATATTTACAACAAAAAAAGTCCGAAACTGTGAAATAAATTAAGTTGATTAAATGTATTTATAAAACTTTTTTTCCCAAACAAGGCTAGGAGACAGTCTTATCTGATATTCAGTGTTGACAAACAAAGCCAGTCTATTTTTAGAAACAGTTTTAAATTTCCTCGGACTGGGTTTCTTTCCTGTTTTTCCTATAGTCTTACCTCCAATACACAGAGCAAGTTAGAATGGTGTTTCCCATGCACATGCAGGACCCAAAGGAGTCTAACAGGCTTTCTCTGTAACGGTAAGCCAATACGCTAATCCACAGCAAATGCATATGGAACAATTTCCTTTCCTTTCATTCAGCTGAAGCCAGTGGCACTATCGGCTTACAGCACTACGCCTGCCTAAGCTCTTGTGCACTTCGGGGTGGAAGGCCAGGGTGGACAGATTAGAGCAGTGGTGACAGGTTAGCAAGGATGAGAGCTGCTCTGCAGATCAAGGCGCCGATGCTGAGCGAGTTCAGAAAAATCACTGAAGACTGAGAAAATCTACCAGGAAGGACAAAAATCTTAGTGGAGGAGCAGTATGTTGAGTCCCTCCCACACACTTATCAGTTCCACATTTAAGACCAGTCTTCAAACAACAAAAGCTTCTACAGACAGCTTCAAGTCAGAACACTTAAAACTGCTATGATCTACACAAAATCATCTTAAAGTAATTCCTACAACACTTGATGGGCAGAATTTTATTTTTCATTACCTGTAGTAATCCACTAACTACACTAGTTTTAAGCGGAAAAATAGATGTGCAGGAAGAAGTTAACGGGGAGCAAGGATGATTTGGTTATTAAATGTTATCATAAGACCTGAGAGAACCTGAGGGAGAAGACAGAATATGTCAGGTTACATATACCCAACAACAAAGAAACACAATTTTGCTTCAATAGGCAGTGGGTTAAATTTTCTTGCATTGATGAAAAAACCCCTCTCTCTCATATGCTTTTTGCTTATTGGTCTAATTTCAAATAAACACTTTTCAGTTTTTCTAGCAAATTTATTTCCTTTTTAAAAATAATTTCTGCTATTTTTACTGCTACGAGAAACAAATTGGTAATGCTGTGGTATTCTCTATATCTGTCTTACTCTTTTACACATACATACATATCACACATACTGTTTCTCGTGCTGTTCTTTCTATGTGTTTACTGATAGTTCTATTCATTTAATCAGGATATCCATTTGCACACGTACATGTATAAAGCAGATAGCTGGATTGATTCCAAATCAATTAGGTTCAGATGAGTAAATCAAGACATCTGATTCACGGACTATAACCTTCAAAGGCTGGTGACTTCCGAGTCAAAGAGAACATAAAGAACTCTGGAGACCAACAAATACCCATGGCTGCTTTAGGACTTCACCAGTGTTCTCAATACTTTTTGAAAGTTCTCGCAGGATTAAGGATTACATGTTAAGTATTTAAAGTTCCTGTTAACTGATAAGTTGTATTTCACCAAGACTAATAAAGCACACTAGCTAGAAAAGTTGAAGGTACTACAAAATGCAGCTAGTCCTGCAGGCTTTCATTATCCAAGAGAATCTAAAAAGGAACTAAAAATAATTCCAGAAGCTTTGTTGAAGTAACTGTCCACATAAAAGAAACCTTCCAACTTAATGACATGGTTACATGCAAACAAATTGCATTTAAAGAAACACATAGTTACATGCTATGGTGTTACAGTCTTCAGCATTTTTTCTTTTTGCAAACCCAAACATAAAAAAAAAAATAAAAAAATCAGACTGCTTACAAAAAGAGGAACTTCATTTTTGGCGGGCTTCTGTTCACTATATGATTTGGCAGAGGCAGTGGTAGCTGACAGAAGATTGATCTGAGCCTTGAGAAGGGAAAAGAGCTAATGGACAAATGCAGCAGATCACTCAGCCGCTCCCGTCTCCCTTTCGTACGTTCACACTCAGACACAGACACGCGCGCGCACATACACACACACATGCACACCCACTATCCCCTCTCTGCAACACAGAAGAATCTTGACAGAATGGCAGGAAACACGCACAGAGTGGTCAGGGAAGGATATGATGTCAGCAACCATGAACAATAAAAGGTGTAAAGGTGCTTCCTTCCCTAAACTGTTCCAGAAGCGCAAAATGGGAACCAAAACTCTCCACTTCCTTCTCTGAGCAGAACTGTCTGAATCTGCTCTGCTGCAACACCCCAGACAGAGAGTTCTTTGAACAAGTCACACCAGGGGCAATAAGGAGTATCAAAACAGGAGAGTCAAAATATTTAATTTATAAACAAGGAGGCAGCCAGAGAAAAACTACGTTAAAATGTGCTAGGCTTTAGCTTTTTCATGGTTGCTTTACAAAAGAAACAAACTTGCCATAAAGATGTCCCTGTTCCATTAAGCGGCTTGCATTCTGAGTGGATTAATTAGGTTAAAACTAAAGAACCAAACCGAATTTTTTTTTATTATCCTGATGTAAGGAAGCAAACAAAAATCCTGCTGTCCCCATTCTCTTACCATTCTCGTGTTGATAAATAGAAGTAACTTCAAAGATCTATGAAATCTTTTTATGCAGGTCTTTCTGTTTACTCAAAAGAGTTTGCAGTCATATTCTAATCACTTAAATGTACTCAGTAAGAATACATCAGCTACTTTTCTGATGAAAAATTAGCTGCAAATTCTGCAACATAACCATGAAAATCTGCAGCAAGGAACACATATTCAAATAAAATGGTCACTGAAAATGTTTTCTGCAAATGCCCTAGCTGACTGTGTTCCAGATACAGACAAAGGCAGCCACACAGTGAAGAAACAGCTGGGCATGCTGCATCAAATAAAGACAGTCATCATTTTGGGTCTGTCACCTTGAGCTGGATAAAGCTGAAAGAAATACAGAAAAGGGTGAAGGTAGTGATCATCTCTCATGTTATCGGACTGAAATCAGCTGTCATCAAAGATAGGAGTGGTCTTTCACATTAAGCGTGGTTTGGTAGCGTGATCATCAGTGAAGACACAGTTTGGGCCATTAATAGAAAGGTTATCATAAAATTATATATGTCATCACCACGGCAATATATCAGTAAAGCAGAAATGGGCATGATCTGCAGTATGCTTACCCAGGCAGAAAGCCATGCAACAAATGAATCTGAGTCATCTTAAGGTTTCAAACATCTGTCCACAACACTCTGATTTAGAAATTAAACATAACCTACATTTATGTGTTTTGATCTTATGGCCAGACTGCCACAT